TCCTAATATTCTGTGATTCTGTGACTGGATAATGCAGACACCTGTGATACAGGGGACATCCCTTACCCTGAACTGTCTTTGACATCTTCCTTAAGCTTTTTCAATTTCACAGCATTCGTTTGAATAGTACACCCTAACAAAAGATGTGAGAACTCCTTTTCAACATGGCAGTTATTGAGAAAGAATTTTTCAAGTCAACAAAGTATCTGGTTCTGCCTTTGAAAGGTTGTTCTTTAGGAAGAACAAAGAACTTCTGGTATCTGGCAGTTTTCCAGATAGCAGGTTGATCCGGACTCTTCATCACAGAAAATGAAAACAGCATACTTAAAGACAAAAGATACAAGAAAAAATTTGAATTAAAAAAAAAACAAAACAGAGAAGTGAGTTGTATATGGATGTTAATAGCTTCTCCCTTTATTATCAGGTGAAGCAACTTCTTAGGAAGTTTTCCTAGTCTGCATAAAAGCTGCAGGTATTTGGCCTGTTTTCCCCAAAATAATCCATTCTCATTAATTGCTTCTTTTCACTGTCTAGAACAGAACCTCAGAGAAAAGAAAAAGGATATTCTTTCACTTAGTATACTTGCATGTTCTCCCACTGTTCTATATGCCACACAATGTCAATACTCTAAAAGTGTACACAAAACATAGAGAAGGAAACCTTGAGTGGTCTTACGATCCTTAAATGTCTAACAAAGCAGTTCATGCAACAAGATAAATGTTTTTATGTGCTTAAACTGTTCAATTATTTACCTGAAGGTCTTATCCCAGGAGTGACACAAGCATCACAACACCCATAAACTGAGTGAAGAGCAACAAAGGTGTCATAAACCTCCAGACAGGCCATAAGGCAATGTTGAAACTGGGAATAAAAGCAGTAAGTTTTTGGTAAGTTCAGTTGTCATACTATGGAAGTACCAGCCACACAAAGAAAACATGCCACAAGAGGAAATGAGATTTATATTACTCAGTCTGGAAAAATACTTGTTTCATTACAACTTGAGAGAAAACAAAATGAAAATACCTCAACACCTACTTACTAAACTGGTAGTTTAGTTTACTGTTTATTTACTGACAACTCATCCTAGAACTTCAGTAGCTGCTGCAGATTTTACACTGAGTGAGTCCACTCAATCCCATGAAGGGTAAAGATACCCTTTACTTTCAGAATCTCTCCACATGAAGCACCTGAAAATGAACTACTCTGGATTTTTCCATAGGCGTACATGGCAGCTGAGAAACATCCTAATTTGTACTTCCAAGACAAGTAGATTTGAAAAGAAAGAGGGAAAACTAACTTATTTTACAAATTAATTACAAGGATTATAGTGTTGACTAATTCTAAACTATAGGGAACCTTTATCTTCTTCAATCTTCTTTTTTTCCCAGCATTGCAACTAATGCTGACTGATGTTATTCAGATATAACATTTAAACTTAAAGAACTTAACTTCATTCACAAGCACATTTGCTCAATTCTGATTCCTATAATCTCATAAAGAAAGTAGCTTTTACTAAAAGTACCATTCTCTGACAGGATATAAACCCTGAAAACTCATATAAAAATAGCTGTAAGTATAAATTGCAGTATATGTTTGCTATTTATAGATTGTTTGACAATGAAGAACTCTGTGTTAGAAACAGATCAGGCATATTTTTTTCTCAGCTAGAGAATACACCTTTATCTTAATTTGTACATCCCACACATAGTTGTCAGAGATAAGCAACTTACACTAGCAAAGGACTTGAGTTTTCACATAAATTTTCAAGACAGAAAAGATCTGGTATATCTACAAGTACGCTTAATATAGTTTTGACAGTTGGAACTCCTGCTTTGTTCCTGCTTTGTGGATTAATGTTGAAAGTGTAAGAAATTATGCTACATAGAACTAGTATTGTCATCAATACACTTAGTAGAATTAGAGCAATCATACTTTTTATAAAATGCACTCATTAACACAGTTAGACTTGCACAGAGTGCTAGAACTTACCAAATCGCTGCTGCAATGAAGGTAGCTGTTGATACAGGTATCAGCACTGGATACTGTGCATCATAGTCCTCAATTCCACGATACCACTCAAGATAGAGTATGCAGTAAGAGGCAACAGATAAAGATGCAGTCAACAAACAAGTGCCAAAGGCAAACCAAGAGCTGTGGTGGGGGAAGAAGGTTAAAGCAAGTTTAGCACAGTCACACTGCAGTTTGCATATTAATCTTCATTCTAGTCTAGAAACACTGCAGACAATACCTGTGAATTATACAGATCTGCCGAAAGTTCCTGTAGCTTTTTCTTAAATTGTTGTTACAAAACACTTTTTGCCCTTCTAAAGCTCTCTAATATACATAACTAATTCAGTTTATTTTTGCAGTGCAACATTCTTGTCAATTTACTTTTCCATCAAATATTTTGGAAATGCAACGCAACAGACCTTGTCAGTGATCTACTATACCACACCAAAAATACTTGGTCAGTGATGAGATAAAATAGGCTCCACTGCAACTGTGCTTCTCACTATAAATTAGGCTATTGATTTTTGTGCAACAGGTTTCAAGTTTATGAACTCTCAAATTTAACAGACAAGAAGCATGAAGATTTTTCTTTATAGCAGCTGAAGAAAAGCAGAGAAATCCAGGATTTCAAACTCGGAATCAAGAAAACACAGGGTATATGATTATTTAGGAAGACACACTTTACAGCCTCTCTGATTTTTGAGCCTCTTTGAGGACATGCTTCTAGACTAAGAGGGGAAAGACAACTTGCAAAGAAGGTGCACTTCAATAAAATCTTATACTTATCTGAATGTGTATTTAGCAATTTTTTTTAGAAAGTGAATTTTTATTACCATAGTTTGATTACTAAATTACAAAGGGTAATTAACTGCTCAGGTAACATTTGCTGTGGTACAGTACAGCAAATATCGTATGCTATTTTGGTACCTCAGTACTACCAATTAAGAAATCTGCATTAAGAAAGCAGCTGCCATAGTCTACCTAAACAAGCAATGCAGGAAGACAGGGTCCTTCAGGGAGTAGGTGGGGCTACCCAAACCCTTGATCACATCCTGGAGTCATTAGTTTATGTGCACAGCCAACTCGATGTAGGGTGCATCCAGACCAGCCTGGAACAGCAGCTGCAGAGAACCTCACAGCCCAGAGCGATGCCCCATTCAGCTTCCATATACTGACACAATAATGACAGAGTTTTAAAAGCACTTTTAGGTGAAACTATCTAAAAGTATTTAACATCCAACAATCCCATTGAAAATAATTTAATAGAAAAGAAATAGAACAGAAATAGAAATTGTTTCACAGAAATTATTTCAGTAATCTTTCACTGGTCCACTCAAAGACGTCTAGAGAACTTCTAGAAAAATGAACTTCATTTTGAAATTTAAAGATTAATTGTAGCTCTTTTTGATTAAAAGAAAATCAAACCCCCAAAACTTTCAACAAAACAGGCAGCGATTTCTTGTACTTAGTGTAAACTTGAAGGTATGGTATTAAAACATCCTGTGATTAGAAAAAATTTTACATGTACACAGATGGTAAAAAAAAGCAGAGCTAAAGAAAAAATATTATAGCAAAATTTCAAGCATTGTATTTACTTAAAAATTAGTTTAGTAATAACAACTTGGGTGGTCATCTGGTCCAACTCCTCTGGCTCAGGCAGGGTCACTGATTCCCCAGGACCATGTCCAGACAGCTTCTGAGTATCTCCAAGGATGGAGACTCTACGCCCTCCCTGAGCAACCTTTCAGGGCTCGGTCACCCTCACAGTGAAAAGGTGTTTCCTGATGTTCAGAGGGAACCTCCCACGTTTCAGTTTGTGCCTCTTGCCCTGTCACTGAGCACCACTGAAAAGAGCCTGGCTCTGTCCTCTATGCACCCTCCCTTCAGGTATTTATACACATTGGTAAGATCCCTCTGAGCCTTCTCTTCTCCAGGCTGAACAGTGCCAGCTCTCTCTATTCCTATTGTAGATCTTTTTTATCCAACACTTAAACCACAGTGTTCAGATATGACAAACTGAATATGATTGTAAGATGAAAACACAACTTATTTTGGAAGAAAAGGTACCTTACCTACGTGCTTGCATAGTTTCTTTAACTGTTTCAAAAAAATCAAAGTAGTATGTCACAGCAATTGATGCCAAAATCCAGAATGCAGAATGAATATTCAGTCGAGTAAGAGGCCTCCTCTTCTCTACAGCTGTAGACTCTTCTGTAAACAAGAACATAATTATAGTACTAAAGTCAGTCATTAAATGGAGTATGATTATAGTTACGTAAAACAAGCTTTATCTTCTTAATTCATTTATCTTTGGAGGTTATTACACTCAGTATAATACACTTTGTATTACAGAGGAAGTGTTTTAAAAAGCTCTGCACATTTCCTGAAAAAACACAGACTAAGCAAGGTACCCTTTGATAAAATGATACAGCAGGAACGATCAGCACATACTGTGTCTGTGTAGCTTTTTAGGAAATTAACAGCTGACTAGATTATGGTTATGTAACTAATTAAAAACCTCCTGGTGTTAGTAAAACATTTTTATTAATCTAGCATATAGAAAATCAGGTTGGTATTTCTGATTAATAATTTTTTTGTATCCTTTTTTGTTAATTTTAATATTTACAAAATTTCGTTAATAAGTAACATTCTTGTATTCAACTGCAGTTACTTCACAAGACATTTTCAACTTCAGTTTCAGCAGCTAGCTTGATTCACACTGCATACATGCAGCAGGTAAACAAAAACTACCATTATGCAGAAAAGTATTTTCTTCCCTCATCACCATATATTGTTTTAGAGAAAGCAAAACAACAGAGCAAGCAGATTTGAAAGCATATTTTTGTGCATGGCAGTAACCAACTCACACACTCGGTACTTTTACACACTGACAAAAAAAGGTGTCAAAGGTGCTTCTGATGTTTCATACTTTGAACTTTATCAGTTAGTGGTGGGCTGTGTACCTCCAGCAGTGTAATGCACGTCGACTCCTCCACACACGCTGAGTCACTAGCTCACTAGCTGAGTGTACTAACAGCTCTGCTGGAGTTTACAGCCGTTTTCATTTTTTTATTTCTTAGATTTTTCCTCATCTACTAAAGCTTGGGTCTGGAGCATTTAAGCACTTTATTCCCATCAAGAAATCCGCGGTTGCAGGCCTCTGCCACAACTCACGTCTCCCTTTTCACGTCCACGACCAGACACCTGAGGGAAGCTGAGCCGGCTGCACGCAGGCCGTGGCCCACCGGAAGGACAATGCGCTCGCTCCCCCGAGGAGCCCCCTCACTCCTACAGCGAGCAGTGTCCGTCCCCCACCCCCGCTCGGGGCAGCGCTGCGGCAGACGCTGCTTGTCACCGCTCCCCGTCCGGACGTTTCTGTCACGCTGCCCGCCTAGCACTGCCTGGCTCGCCTCCGCTCCCCTCCCGGCGGGGTCTCCGCGTCCTCGGCCCGCGTCCCCACCACCACCCACCGGCCTTCCCACCGCCCCCCAAAGGCGGCTGCGGCGG